GTAGTAGTAGTAGTAGTAGTAGTAGTAGTAGTAGTAGTAGTAGGAGTAGTAGGAGTAGTAGTAGGAGTAGTAGTAGGAGTAGCAGTAGCAGTAGCAGTAGCAGTAGCAGTAGGAGTAGCAGTAGCAGTAGGAGTAGGAGTAGTAGTAGTAGTAGTAGTAGCAGCAGTAGTAGTAGTAGTCGTCGTCGTCGTCGTCGTAGTCGTAGTAGTAGTCGTCGTCGTCGTAGTAGTAGTATAGGTAGTAGGTAGTAGGTAGTAGGTAGTAGGTAGTAAGTAGTAAGTCGTAAGTAGTAAGTAGTAAGTTTGTAAGTACTAAGTATTAAGTACTAAGTACTAAGTGTTAAGGCTTAAGTCCTAAGTACTAAGTACTGAGTACTAAGTACTACGTAGTAAGTAGTAGGTATAGTATGCCTTGCGGACGCGATGGGCGACTGCACTTCGAGTACTCGAGCATTCGAGCATGTTCGAGTACGCTCGAGTACGCTCGAGTACGCTCGAGTATGCTCGAGTATGCTCGAGTGCGCTCGTGCAGCACGCTCGAGCACGCTCGAGTACACTCGAGTATGCTCGAGTATGCTCGAGTATGCTTGAATATGTTCGAGTACGTTCGAGCATGCTCGAGTACGCTCGAGTGCGTTCGAGGGTAGTATGTAGCAAGTAGCAAGTAGCAAGTAGCAAGTAGTAAGTAGCAAATAGCAAGTAGTAGTAAGTAATAAGAACTAAGCATAAGTAGCAGTAGTAGTAGTAATAGTAGAAGTAGTAGTAAGTACTGATTAGTAAGCAGCAAGTGCTAGTTAGTAGGTAGTAGGTAGTAGGTATAGTAGGCTGTAGCAGTAGCAGTAGCAGTAGCAGCAGCAGAGTAGTAGTAGTAGTAGTCGTCGTCGTCGTCGTTGTTGTTGTTGTTGCAGCCATGGTGCTGCTGCTGCACGTAGTCGAAATGGTGGTAATTGCAGTACGCGTCGTTCAGATTGAGATGCAGAGTCGGTTGCAGCGAGCACAGGCAGAGGCAAATGGGAGCAATGCCAGTGATGCTGTCCAGAGCTTCAGCCCAGCTGAGTGCATAGTGCCTGAGCTGCAGATACCAAGGGGCTCTTCGGTGCCATGTCGGTTTCATCTTGTCATCAGACAGATGCAGGTCAAGGCAGCGGCGCCCGGCTGGAGGGGTTGCGCGTGTCTGGACGGCTCGAGTTCTTTTTCCAATCGATCGTCGAGCTTGCTACATGAACGTCTCAGCTGTCTATTCTGCAACGTACTCTTATATATCTGTTCTTGTGGAGTGTTTGTGAATATCAGCAGGACAGCAGAGGCTACCTGCAAGCGGGCAAGACCTGCACTGTGAAGCTTGGTTCTTGGGTTGTTGTTTTGTCTATCTTACCTGCACGCCTGACCTGCCATGCTCAAGCTTGTTCTTTTGGGTAATATCAGGTGTGAGGAGCCTGCCTGCAACTTGCCACCAGTCTGGCTCTCGGCCACTTCTGGTGGGTCGCCTCCATCACTGCCTCTGGAGGGCGGAATTCGACCTGTGCCGAGCGCATGGGTCACTTCCGAGGCGGGCAGCTGCGCACAGATGCGCACAGCGACACTCAACATGTCGGTGACCGCAGGTGAATCCAGACCTGTTGCCAGATCATGCATTGGCCACTTGGAGCGCTTTCCATTGCTGAATTCATTCCGAAAACATTCGGCATTTCTTCTTGCATGGCTGTTCCTGTGGAGTGGAGACCAACTGCTCAGGCGACAAGTCGGGCTCCGTCGGGGTCTCCAGTGCGAATTGCCACATCTGCAACCCATTGCTATGGCTGCTCAGCATGCGACAGGTCTTGTCGGGCTTGGTGGCATGGAGTGCATAGAGCTCAGATTGTGGGCTCGACTTTCTAGTTGAGAATCACCAAGCCTCATGCCTCTGCCAATTCGTGCAGGACCCTTCTTCTTGGCTTCTGCATGTTTGCGGCCTAAAGTGGGCCCTGAATGCAGCAAGGTCTCACCAGACTGTCTCACCGCAAAATGATGCAAATTTGATCCTGCATCTGCCAAGCTTCTCTGAAACAGCATCGGGGTGGGGTGTACGGCTTTGGGCTTGCGTGCATCACGCTCCAGAACGGTGTCGGCATCTCTGCATTATTCTGCATTGAGTTGAAGACGCGCTCGCCAAACTCCGTGCCCGCAAGCTCATTGAAGGCAACTCAAGAATTAGCATGCCAAGTTCTCCTGTGGATGGGAGGAGGCCATTGCATGACATGCTGAGGTCAAGACATGAATCTTCAAGGTGCTGGGGGACAAAACCATCGTAGCGCTGTGCAGTGTTGTTCGGAAGTTAAAAGCACGACCCTGTCGAGCAAAACCATCGCCAGGTTGTGATCTTTTTGCAGACCTGCGAGCGCTATCTCGAGGCCACAGTTGGACCAGAGCCGCAGAACTCCTGGAGCAGGCGCTTGCCCAAACGCATCCCGCACTCGTCAATGACAGAAGCTACGGTACAGCGATTGCCGCTTGTGATAGAGCTTCGCTGTGGCAGCAAGCAATTAGATTTCTCGCACGTGCGAATTTGCCAAATCTAATATTATGGAATGCCACCATCAGCGCATGCTCCCGAGCACGACGCTGGACGACAGCATGTGCTCTCTTGGAGCAGATGCCAAGAGCAAAGCTGTGGCCAGATGTGATCACCTTTAACTCGACTATGCGAGCTTTTGCTGGCACAGGCTCGAGTACGAGCCGGTGGCAAGCAGCCGGCTTGTTGTACCAACAGATCCGCGAGAGTCGCTTGCATCCCAGCATCCAGTCCATCAGCACGGTGACGGGCCTTTGTGGTCACGGAAATGCATGGCACGCGGCTTTGGCGTTCTTGAATGATGCTACAGAAGGGTCTTTGTCCATTGATGCTGCATGCTACAGCTCGGTACTAGTTTCTTGTGCGCGCAGTCGACGATGGCAGCGCAGCCTGCAAATCTTCTGGGGGTTTGCAGATAAAATCTCACCTGACCTGGCCTGCTTCAACGCAGCCATCAGTGCTTGTGAGCGAGGAGGTGACTGGATAGGTGCTCTTTCTTTGCTCCAGAAGCTGCGCTCGTATTGTCTCCAGCCTGATCGGATCACTCTCAATGCTATAATCAGCGCATGCGAGAAGGGCTCCCGATGGCATGCCGCTTTGGCCGTGCTCAGTTTGCCAGGCGCCGGAGGACCACTTGACCCATCTCATGCAGGCCTTCCTGTCTACAGTAGCACCTGGAATCATCGGCTCCCGTGCCGATCACCCGATCAACTCGTTGCCCATTTTGCTGATGTTCCGTGTTTCCCCCCTGGCTTGTCGGAAGGACCACCATGCGTGATGGAGGGCATGAATGCTGATGCAGTCACTTTTACCGCTGTCCTATCTGCTTGTGCCAAGAGCTCACTGTGGCAGGATGCTTTGCAAACCCTCCAGAGACTGAAGCATCATCACTTGCAACCGGGACCGCTTCACATAGCGACCGTGCTGGATGCATGTGCCCCAGACGGGTCTCGGAGTAGAAGCATCGTGTCCAAGCTGGTTGCATCCCTGCATGCGTCGATCGGGTACATGCTGCAACAACGTGAAGGAATCAATGCAATGGAGTCGCCCCAGACGCAGGCAAAGTGCCAGGAGATCACCAAGCATGTTGTTGCCGGCATGGAGTGTCTGTCTCGGCACACAACTGCTTGTGAAAGGGAAGATTTGGAAGCACTCTTCGACAAGGTTGTCTATCAGCCTGTTCTCAAACGTTTAAACTGCCTGGTCGCACAAACTGATGCGGCAGCGCGGGAAGCAATCCTTACTGATGGCCAGCTGGAAGAGCTCTACGGGCTTCTTGGTAGACTGATGGGTAGACGGATGCTTTTAAAGCCAAGATGTTGACTGGATTAATTCTGATGCAAAGTGTAGAACTTAACTGCACTGCAGAACACCGTGACTTAGCAATTGATTTGCTCTTGGCGGTACAGGCTCGTCATGACTCTGCCAAATCAACCCCACGATGCTAAACTGCGTTGGGCTCTGCGCGAAGCTCTGCACTAGCCGTTGTTGGATCCCAGAGTGCTGATAGCATCGCCGTGTGGATATTTCTGTCGAACTGCTGCAGAAACAACTCCAGAACCAGGAAAAGCTGCAGAGACGATAAGGCTACACAAACACAGCCAAGAACATGCTCAAAGGTTGAAGGGCGAAGTCAATGTTGTTCAGAACCCGTGCTGTCATGAATGCTCACGCGCGGAGACTGACAAGATTGTCAAGAGTTTTATTTTACATTACATGCCAGATCAGACAGGGTTGGTCGGCTGCCTCATCAACCCCCAACTTTTGTTTTGAGTTTAGAGCCTGTAGCCTACTTGCACCGAGCAATAGTGAGCTGTCTGCTCGAAGCCATCCAAGGTTCGGAGCACGCTACACCAGCAAGGCGTTGGCGGATCTTGGGCTCAGCACTTCCGATCCCAGCTGGCGCCCGATGGCACAGCAGTTGACGCGGCAGGCATTGCGGACCCGTAAATGGCAGCGAAAGAATGCCGGTGTTTGGCCTGCGCGTGCGTCAGCGCAAATGCTGGTTGTCTGGTGTTCTTATGAGATTTATGACGAGTCAGGGCTCGTCTGCGAAAACAAAGGGAAGCTCTTTTTTTCGGCGAAGACAGATGCGACAGAGGTTGATAGTGCTCGTGGACTGTCAGAGCTTTTGTTGGCTTCCGTATTCGTGGAGCACGATCGCTCGATGCACGCCGAGCGTCATGCCTTGTTGGAGGTTGCAAACTTGGTTGAGAGGATGGGGTCACGTGATGTTCATGGCAATGTGCGCCTCTATGCGGTCCACACCCCTTGTATATCTTGCTTGGCAGTATTTTGCCAATTCCGCAGCCTGTTTCCACAAGTTGTTCTCCACGTGCAGTTTGATGACTGGTCCGCAACTCGACAAGCGCTCGTTGAAATGGGCGGGCGGCATGCAAGCTTTGCCTCACCTGCGGGGATCGTTGGCGTTGAGTGCCTTAGTGTGGGCTATCGCGCTTGCACGAAGAGATCTCCAGACGGAGGCTGCGAATGAATAAAACAAAAAGGAGCACGATCAGGCCTCGCGCTTGTGATGTAATTGTCATTGAGACCGTGGGGATGAACTCCAAACAAGTAGGGAAGCTTACGTAAAGTTAAAGCGTCAATTGTAGCAGCGTCGTAGCAGGTCCGCCGGCCACGCGAGTTTCCATCTCTGGGACTACAGATTTCGTTGCTTGTTTCATGTTGTCAGCGAGGATGGTACTCCTACACCGCAGCAGGGAGACACCTCAGCCAGAATCACGACAGCCCATGAGGTAGTGATGGGAGAAGCAGTCTCCAAGCCGTGTGGCAATACAAGAATAGGCGATGGCCTTTGAGGCTTTGTGGTATGGCAGAGGGCGAAGCTCTCCTCAGGAGATTCTTGGGCTGAACGAAAGAAGAAATGTGATGTCACTCCATCGAATCAGGACATTTTCCGTCCCGGCGAAGACCTCGAAGATCAATTTCGTTTTGCCACAAAGGCTCAGCATTTCATCGATAGCGGGAAGCAACATGCACTCTGCTCACTCGTGGCAGTTGGCGATTGGCACAGTGGCTGGGTTCCGGGGCGTATGCAAATGCTTCGGCCTTGGCCAGTCTCGACTTCTCCTTGACACAATCGCCTGACGCGAAGTTTGCACAGCGCGAGGAACAGTTACAAATACGTGGTTAGTCACCTGTCGTTCCTACATCTTGCTCGTTCAACATATCCTATGCATTTGGACGCTTCGGGAAGTTGCCGCATAGCTGCTAAGGTTGCAGCGTTTCGGACTGACATGGGCAAGGAGTATGCTGTCAAGAAGGCATGGTACTCAGTGCATGACAGGTTGGTGTTGGGAGCTGTATTGGAGCTATTGAGCTAATCTGGGACCGCAATGCTGCCAGAACCTGCAATGCAATAGACAGGGATAGGACATGATGGGTGTTTGCCGGACAGATAGGCTCAGATTCAGCGTGACACTTTTCAAGCAAGGCATTTCTTAGGTTCTTTTCTTGCAGGGATGGACCAACTGCATGAGATCGAGGCCCCTACTAGGCCTCCGACTCGCTCGCAGGAAGAAAGAAATGAGAGAAGATAAGCGGATGGTCAACATGTTAACGGTAGTGCCGGTAGTGGAGGTCACAGTCGGAGCTTTGCATCTCAGGTCGAGCGTGTGTTCGACCATCCGATACTGGCGCTTCGAACTCTCCGAGAGGTGACTTGATTGACTAGATGCACGGACATGTCGCATCAGCTAGGTTGGGGAGATGTTGTAGTAACGAGCCTGTACCAGAAAGAAGCCCTGTAGGTACTGTACGAAGGCATTGTATATATTGCCATACGGCTGTTGGTGCTGTCAAAAATGGGACTTCAGGTGATTCATTCATGAACATGTTGAGAGGTTCTCTGATCACTCCAAAACAGTCCACGAGGTTCAGGTGCAATCAGAACCAGAACTGCGAGAGGTCCGACTGCTTGCACACCTGCAGCACCCGAACCTGCTGCACTTGCACGAGCTGATACTTCATGGCTCCGACTTCAAGGACCTGCGGCTAGCTACTAGATTTCTGAAACCAAAGGTGGGCTTTAGATGCCACAGGTATGATGGCATGCCTGAGATCGCCATACTTGGCTCGAGGATGCTTACCTTTGCTTGGAGAGGCCCGGAAGGGCCGGATGTCGCATGATGTCGCCGTGTGATGCCCCAGAGCCTGAGCTGCCGCAGGATGGACGGCGACTTGCATGTGCTGATCCATGAATCCAAGCATTGTTTGAGTGGTCACCAGGCACCAGCTGTGCTAGCCTCCTAGGACCTTAGGGCCTTAGGACCATGACCGAAAATGTGATCACGCATGGTAGCGAAGCAGGTGCAGTGCGTCCACTCCTTGGAGTCTCCTTGGCTTGACGGTTTTGTCTGTGCATGGGATTGTACAGCGCTGCAGGTCCTGTATCAAATGCTTCGGGGACTGCTGTGCCTACGATGTGCACGCGTTATCCATAGGGTCCCAGACTCGAAAGCAGCCGGCTGGGAGAGCGCTGCAGCAGCACCAAACGAAAGCTGCTTCAGCGGCTCTCAGGACTTGAAGCCTCGGAACGTGCTAGTACGCTCTGGTGGGCAGGCGACCAAAAAACAGGCCCGGCTCACTCTCCCTCTCAGCGAGTCGCAGGTGAAGATCGGAGATCTCGGCATGGCGCGAGGCATCGACTCGGAGGAGGACGCGGCATGTGATGTGGGAGCTGGTGTTTCAGGGCTATCTAAAAGAAGCTCTCAGCGCAGAAAAGGTGCCAAGCGCCCTCACCCTGTGCCTTCTGTTGATTGCTACATTGGAGCCCTCAAACTTCAGAGGACCCAGTGCTTCCTATGCGATTCTTCCCGTATCTTGCCGTTGTCTGCCAGGACGGCCATGACGCGATGATGCTGACTGAGTACGTGGTCACGCGCCACTACCGGGCCCCGGAGGTGCATGAGCAGAGTCTTCGCTTTTGCTCTCTGGCCCCCGAGAGCCGCCGAGGTGGTGCTGACGGCCTCCAGGTACACCTACGACGCGCTCTCAGCCAATACCTTCATGCTCAGTGAGGCCCGTGCATCACAACACCCTCCAAGGCAGTGGACATGTGGTCTGCAGGCTGCATTCTTGGTGAGATGCTCACGCGAAGGTGTGCAAGTCCTAAGTTGAACTGGTAGCAGTGGTGTTTGGACAGCTCCGGCCAGGTGCATTTTCGAAGGCAAAGACTCGTTAGATCAAGTGAGGCGCACGCATGTTTCAGACCAAGAGGATGCGCAAACTTGGTACAACGACAGTCTGAGGAAGATTCTTGGCACCCTGGACTTCCAAAAGCCCGAGGCAGGACTTATTGCAGCAATTGGGCTGCTGCTGAGGCAAGTTATCGCCAGGACTTCGATTGGATTCCAGACTCAAGCCCAGCCAAGAAGTTTGTCCAGATCTGTCAATGGCTCAGACCAGTTTGGCTTTTGGAGTTGCGGCGCTACTTGCTACACTTCCTTTGTGCCGCAACGCTCAAGGCAACAAATCTGCACAGGCCAGCAACGAGGCAGAAATCACGAATGCTGTTCGCCCTGTGCTCGGGGACAAAGTCTCCCGCACTAAGGGGCTCCGCGAGATCGTTTCCAGCTGGGGCATGCAGTCTTCCAATGCCCTGGCAGTTGACCTGATGGCAGCTGGCTTGGGGTTGGCCGTTGGTCCTTCGCGCCATTATTGTGAAATTCTTTCGAAGTGACCGGACCAGACTCAGCTGTAGCCTCAAGCGTCACAGGTAAAAATGCTCCGGCTGGATCCAGCCAGGCCTGGTAGACTTGCCAACTCCGTCATGATTTTTGGCTTCGGCTCACTTATAGGTACAAACGGCAGAAGATTGAGGCTTCAAGCTAAAGGTGGATTCCGACTGCGGAAATCTTAAGCGCAGGGCTAAAGCAAGAATCGCTGGTACCTCACTAGCCTGTCGTGGCTGGCGCAGACTGTTTTTGATTGGACACAGCCTCTTGGGGGTTCAAGACGCAAAGGCGAATGAAGCCAACAGGAACAGGATTCGATTGGCAGAACGATGCTGGATATCGATTACATGTCACATGGGGAGCAGCCGCATCTCTGAGCTGGCTCTCTCTCGCTGTAGCTTGCTCGCTCTCTCTGCGGAAGGCGGTTGGCAGTGGACGAAGCTCTGGAGCATGGCTGCTTGGTTGGCCGTTTGAAGGACACGCAATAGGTTTGCTGCGACCAGTTTGTAAGCTCGGAGCTGCGGCTTCTGGGCTTGTTCCAATTCCGACGATGCCTGACCTTTCATGCTTTGTCTTTCTTTGTGCATCGGAGGATGAGACGTAATTACTCGTAATGGCTGCGCGTGAAGCTGCACGATCGATGTCACTCGAAGCCTCTGGCATCACCTACACTAGATAGACCTGCCTGCCTTCTGTAGTATTCATCCGTTCCAGCGCTGTCTGATGCCGAGGCTACCTGTCAGCCTTCAATGCTACTGAAGACAAAGATGCAACAGACTTGGCGGCCTGGCGAGATGAACGAAATTGGCCTTTTCATGCTGACAACGCACAGGTTGCTGATGCAAGAGCCGTCTCTCAAATGGTACAGCCCCGAGGAACTCAAGCTATTTTGAAGATTACCCGTCCAGCAACACGTCAGGATTGGTCCTTCGACAAAGCGCTTTGTTTTGATCGCATGGGGCAGCCGAAGTCCTTCGAGGCGCCATCTTTGGTGGGCCTTGCCGGGCCTCGCGTGGTGTGGACACGAACAGGTAGACGCATTCCGGCGTGCTTTTCACGAGGTCCGTTTATCACGGGGCAAACGCCTGTCGTTCAAACACATTCTGTTGCTGTTGCAAAGTCCGTATGCAGGCCCAAGGCAACTGCGAGGCATCCCTTTTTCAGTCAATGTTTGATGCACCTGTGCCTCCTCCTATCTTGGTTTCTGCGTATTCTCGTGCAGAGGCAACGTCCAGACGTCACCACTGTGACGTCACGACCGATGCAGAATACCAAAAATTCTGTTCATGCATCTCCGATGCCTTCTGCAAACCTTCGTGAGTTAAGATGCTTCTATTACATATGTGGTGTACCACTGGTAACTATCATTGGTATCATTATTACCAGGATTACTGTTATGTTTCGTGTCATTGCCTTTTTACAAGTTGGCTGGGTAGTATCAATAAGTATCAGTGTCAGCGGGGACGAGTTGAGCAAGGCTAGCATTGACAGCTTCAGCTCTGGGCTAGGCGGCTAGGCAATCGACCAGCCAAGATCCGGTCAGTCCCTCACAGTGGGATGTTGCACTTTGTCTCTTGCGTCCTGCACTGGTCCGCCATCCGATTCAAAGCACCGAGAGTATTGCTCGCAGGGCACAGGACACATGTGGTCCACATGCTACCACGGAGATGCCCAAAGCCTTTGAACACTTTTCGCGATCAGAAATATCAGCACAGCGACCCATCCTGACAGATTACAGCAGGATTGGTTGTATTTTGCAGCACTCTCGAATCTGACAACATGTGACAACCGCAGTCGACATGCTCCATGCTAGGGGGAGCTAGGGCCCAGAGATGCATTTGCCCTCGCGCATCGACGTCGCTTCAAGCTCCTTTGCTCGCGCAGGTCGACCCTTCCTCTGCCGTGCACGCATCGCGACTCTCTCGAGGTCATCAAGCATCCTCACCTGCATCGCACGCCGACGACCCAGAGATCCCAGAGTCAACATGCCAGCAGCTGGGCACATGCAAAGCATGTCTGCTAAGGATGGCATCATCCGTGCAGGCTCCATCGTACAGGCATCCGCAGTCACTCTGTTAAGGCAGCAGGAGCAAGCACAGCATCGGTATACTGTGAAAGGTGGAAGTCGTTACCGGCCCTTTGTGTTGCCAGCAGTCAAGGTGGAATAAAACAGAAGAAGACGTTACTTTTTGCACTTAAGAGGGGTTTAGGCAAACCCAACTTTGATACGAGGGGCGGTTTTAACTCGCATCGGGGGGGGGGGGTTGGGGGGGGTCGGTTCCGGCATTTCACCGCTGCCTGTACACGTGGGAGCGCGGCAGAACGTGCTGCCGCACAGAGCACCCAGCCAGCGAGGCTGTGCACAAATGTTAGACTCCGAACGGCAGACCCCGTCAAATGGAGTGGATGAGGGCCAAGCATGATCACAAAGTTCAGAAGCTGAAGCCGCCTCTACCAATGAGCGATGTCGAAACAAAGGCGCAGATGGGTGCTGAGCCAAAGTGGAGTTCCGCCGACTCCCCATACTCTTTCGAAATTCATCATTGCTAGCTGGCCTGTCAGACATGCGCAGGGACTCTCAGATTTAAGACTGCTGAGCATTCAGAGATATTCACAGCTATTCACAGTGGATTGTAGGTGAACCAATTTTTCGCTCTTGACTCGACTGTTATCCAGCTTCAGCGCCTCTGTGAACTCGCTCCTACGTCCTGCTCAGCTTTGATGTCCAAGCAATGACGCGAACAGCATGCGTCGTGTTTGCTTTCTCCGACCTACGGCATGTGTGTGAGCTCACAGAAGACAGCTCTGTCTCCCGGCCGGTCCAAGAGGAGCTATCCGTGTGCGATCCAACTCCCACGAATTGATTGCACAATGCTCATGTTGAGCTTACATCGGGCCTCTTCAGGTCTGTTTGCATCCGTTTACCATGCTGTCTGCGCGAGCATGCGTGAGCTCATGAGAAGTTACGCAGGCTGGTTGCATAACAAGCCATGTCACAGCATTGTCATGCCATTGGAATGCGTCCTTTATCAACGGATGCGATGAGATCGTGTGGTATCAGGGTGTCAACAATTTCTTGCTGAATCAGTATGAAGGAACGACGAAGATCGAGGAAGTTGTTTTCAAATGCTGGGAAACGTGTTTTCAATGGCTTCTGTCAACGACAAGCCGTCAAACTGTAGCTTAACTTTCCTCTGACTGCACAGAGTGCTTTTTGACGGAGATAGTACAATCAAGAAGACTCATGAAGACCCTACAGATGGTCTTGATTTGGTAGGTTGCAGTCGACATGTCGCAATGTACTGTTTCCTGTAATCCCGTTCACCGCATGGGATCAGAGCCAGGTATTGCCAGGACGCCAGTTCCCCTCCTTCTCTGCCGGAGACGTCGGAGTGGTGAAGCGCGTGGATGATGAGGAGCTCTACTCAGCTCTGCTCAAAGAGAGCTCTTGGGCTCTAGACATCTCTTGACTAGACCCGCTTCAGGCTCGGACCTGCGACGTGGTCTTTGATCATGGTGTCACGCGCCTACGTGTGCTCAGAAGTCGTTTCCAGTCTATGGAACAGCTTGCTCTTCTGGCTTCGTGTTGATGTGTGCAGGCCTCCGCATATGCGCAGATGTGACTCTACATAGAATACAGTAACGGTATAACGGGCCCTTGACAACCCGTCGCTGTCGTGCTGATCCCGACTCCCACCGATTCAATTTAGGTTGAACCTGCCCTTGGCCATGGGCCCTCTGTTCCGAGGCCGGTCCACTGACGGTAGCCGTGCGCCATCTCAAGCTGAGCCAGGCTCAGGTTGGGAATTGCACTCTGGCGGCGACTCCATACTCTGTGGGTCTTGGTCTTGAGGACTTCGCAACGCCACGTGAGTCAAGCCTGGCAAGGCCAGAGTGATTCCACGAAGTCGCCGAATCATGCCGAAGCCAAACGGCTGTCAGGATGGATCCTCTGGCCTTGCAGGGCCTGTACAGTCCGAAGGCTTGCAAAAGAACAAATAGAAAAGATACAAAGACTGCCTCTGGACCTGGAGGCCTCCAGGCACTTACCGGACCTCGAGGCCTTACCGCACCTGCAGAATCCTGCAGGGGAAAACTGCGGCTTTCGTGCATTGCACAGGCACAACTGGCATCGCAGCAGCACGCCTTGAACTCCATCGAGGCAGTTTCGATCATTTTCACTGCCGCGCGGGTCACGCAAGCCCCACGGGCCCGAACTGCAAGGCTCGGCTCGCGGCATGCGAGGCACGGCTGTGTTGAAGAGGCTAAGATATGTTGAGATGTTGCGTGACACAAGTCGCAGTGGACGGCAGTGACCGTACTCCTGGTTTGTAGAAATGTGGAATGGGCACCGTGTGGCGAATAAGTGGTCTCGCAGAGAGCACAACTTCAAATGTGGAGTGAAGGACTGAAGCACTCCTCTTGTTCCCAAGCTGGTTTTGACCCATAAACCCTTTTCTGGCTTCCTCTATTCGATAAGCCCTTCATCGGCCTGGGAGTGAATAGCTGACTGCGTCGATCCCCAGAGCTTCACAGATTAGCCACCGCATCCTGACAGGGCTTAGCTGTGCAAATGCAGAAGACACTTGACCTAATACCCCGGCGTTTGTGCTCCCCTTCCCTGTTATGTACATAGTGCCGAATTGAACGACTTTGAACTGGAATGGCAGAGGGCTTCTTTTGCGAGGCTGCCTTGAGCGTTGAGGATTCACGGGGGAAGCCCGCTGGAAGACTGGTTGCAGCGCGGGTTGCTGCTCTGGAAGGAGCCCATCAAGCTGAAGTCAATGAGCTGAGACGCGCACCGTGGCTGCCAGCACACTATGCCACAGAATGTAGCTAGCAGTCAGCATCTACACACTTGCGTTCACGGATGCTTAGGCGACTTGTTTTGGTAAACCCATGTTTCATAGTGGCGTAGTAAATAAATTTTAAGGCTAAAGCATTTCACCCCGGGCTTGGTAACACGTATGGCTGCAGGTTGTAACAGGTTGAAGGTCAGGGGTTGGGCATGTTGTCTTGGAGTTTTGCGGTCCTGGGGCTGTTTCTCAGGCGAGAGAATAGTATCGTGTCCGCCACGCATCAGTCAGCTGGCTAAAAAAGCGTACCTACTTGTAGTTCCAGTATGTGTAGCGCATGGTTTAATTCTGTGACACAGCAGGAGGAGGGTTTTTCTGCACCAATTAAGAAGCAGGCCACTGTCCGTCACATGTGCGGACCTGAACCAAGCAACGCCACCATGATGCAAGGCTTCGCTTCAGCTTTTCAGCTGTGGAACTCAATGTAGGACAATGGGCCGATGAGGTTTATATTGCTAGGGGAGACCGCGTTGGTCGCTTTTAAAGTTTTGTCTCAAATCCTCTTCTTTGAGCGAAGGCATTGAACGAAGCAGCCGGCCTTTCGCGCGAGCAAGACAATATTCATCGAAAACATCGCAGCACTGGAAGGGAGATTGAGCAGTTGTTCCAGGGCCTCGAGCAACGTTGCCAAAATTTGCAGGACAGTGCTCGAAGGTTGGAGACCGAATTATCTGGATTGACTGCGTCGATGAGCGGTCACGAACGGCGAGCCGCCAAGCTTCAAGATGTGGTGGCTTCTTCCAGCACAGGCCTCTCAGAATTGGCAGCCTTACTGGAGGGCCAAGAGCGGCGAACAGTCGATCTAGCTCAGGCTTTGGCATGCCAAAAAATTGTTTTGTGTACGGTTGAACATCAACGCATGGCAGTTGCTTTGCTTGATTCGGGATGAGGACTCAGCAGGCAGAAACTTTCTTCGGATTTTTTGCTGTGACCACTACGACAATATCTATATGCTTAGGCCAAGAACTACGAAGCCGAATGAATATCGAAAGCAGCTCGTTCATAAAACAACAGAACGTGTCTTTCGCAAACGGTCATGTCAACTCGAACTTCCCCCACCACTTCTGCGTATTTTGGCATCGAAAAGGGGCTGCATGGGATCTGACCTGCATCCCTCCTCGGAAAATGTGGGGGGCAGCGGAACGAAATGCCACCCCTATCGGGAAACAGAAAAACTTTGGATCAGGAATCGAACTGCACTTGAGCACGCACCTGCTGTCACTGCTTGCTGAAAAGCGACGACTTCTGCGACGTGACACAGCGAGGACTACACTGCTGCTGCCATTGCTGTCACGACGACCACGATACGTACAGGATTCGATACGAGGACTGGTACTGGACTGGTTCTGGCGTACCAGTGGTACTGCCGAGGACGACGATCGCCACTTCTCTTACTATCTCTTACTCGTACTACTACTACTGCTGCTGCTGCTGCTGCTGCTACTACTTACTACTACTACTACT